AGTGTGTGCGAGCAAGGAGGCCTACAAACCTGACTCAGTTATACCAGCTCTGTCAGGAGGAATGGGCCAAAATTCACCCAACTTATTGTGGGAAGCTTTTGGAAGGCTACCCGAAACGTTTGACCCAAGTTAAACAATTTAAAGGCAACGCTACCAAATACTAATTGAGTGTATGTAAACTTCTGACCCACTGGGAATGTGATGAAAGAAATAAAAGCTGAAATAAATAATTCTCTCTACTATTATTCTGACATTTCACATTCTTCAAATAAAGTGGTGATCCTAACTGACCTAAAACAGGGAATTTTTACTAGGATTAAATGTCAGGAATTGTGAAAAACTGAGTTTAAATGTATTTGCCTAAGGTGTATGTAAACCTTTGACTTCAACTGTATCTTGGCTGCCTCTCCCTGTCCATTTCCCATTAACATCTCTGAGTGATTTCACAAAGCATTGCCTTGGCCTCCCACTAAATGCCATTCCAAATGCTCCCAGGCATATTAAATAGAGTGAGGAGGAGGAAACTGACCATCGCAAATTTTGCTGTGATTTGATTATTAACCTGACGATTTGCCGCTACTCTGCAAGCCTGTCTCCCATTCATTCATTATCCTCCAAAATGATTTTATCAAATCACTCTGCCTCTTTCTTGTTCTCTTCATGTAACCCAGAATGCCTCACAGGCAGCCAGGCAGCAACAAGGTGTTGATTTCCAAGACTCCATTTGGTTTTCTGTCTCCTGCGATTATCTGTTTTAGTCATCATCCACAGCCGCTCAGTCAGTCATGAGCTAGAGCTAGCTAGGCCTTGGCACAGACATACACTGGAGAGATAAAAGAAAAGAAGAAGCCAACTTTGTGAATTCCACTACTGACAAACAGGAGAGTTTCCTATTGAACAGAGCCAAGCTGGAAGGGAGATCAAGGTGGCGTGTCCTACAGTACCGTCTGCATCCTCCAACTTCTTCAGGAGACTCCTCGTTTTATGTATTTATTTGTCTTTTTTGATATATCCTCTTCTTCTGAGCGTCCCTGACTGTTTATGTTCTGGCAATGCGATGTAATGTGAGCGAACCGCAGCGTTTGCCTTGTAAATGAGAACTCCTGGTGGGCGAGGTGACTGTGGTGACTGGGGTGGCTTGGATCTCTACTCTTTTTCTCTCAGCGCAAAGCTGCAATGGCCTCTGGTCATGTTGCGGATAATTTACATACTTCCATGTCTAATCTTAAAACTGCATTTGCATACAGGTTTATTTCCTCCCTCTCTTGGTTGTACTGCGGTGGCCAGGTTATTCATACATGATTGATGGTTTTGTGGCGACTGAATTAGAACATGATTTAGATCTCTGATCCAGAGGGACGTTGGGTTCGTTTGCAGGTGGCCATCCCTGTTGTGCCTGAATTAAATGGCAAAGCATTGACAATGGATTCTATTCTATACTTTACAAGTCACCCTGCATTTGGGTATCTAGTAAAGTAAACAAAGACATATGCAAAAATAATAATTATATGCGCACACAGTAGAACTGCTTTGGTTCTCAATGGTCTGTTTTTGTTTCATTCAAATCCTCTTGAATTGTTTATTGTCATGCACAACCTCTTATGCACAACCTATTCTCCCCAAGGGGCAAAATGGTTTATGTGAAGTAAGTCATGCACAACCTGCATTTACATATAAAACATCCAAGCCTCATCAACTATCAGTCAATCTACTCAGAGTAACATAATGGTCTCTCTGAGGAGAAGCGGTGGTGTCATGATGGACCATCTTATCCTTTATTGATGGCCCCGGTTGCTGGCAGCACAGACCATCTGGCCTCCCTCTGTCTTTCTTTCAGTGTAGAGGGACAGAGGGAGGGATGGAGAGAGAAGAGGAGTGGAGAGGTCTGCATCACAAATGGCACCCTATTCCCACCCTATTCCCACCCTATGCGGGCCCTGGTCAAAAGTAGTGCACTATATAGGGAATAGGGTGTCATTCAGGACACAATCGAATGGTGGCCAGCTCTCCAGATGTTCCAGGGGCACAGAGGGTCAGATGTGAAGGGTATCAGAGACAGGACAGCTGTGGAGCGACACACGGGTCACAGAGGTCACCCACATCCCCGATGGACACATCAGTCATCGAGGGGGCGTCCCTTGGCCTGTCGTCCGTCTGGTGTCCCCTCCTCCCTCCCTTTATTGTCCCCTCCCTCCATCCATCCCCTCAGTGCCACACCAGGCACGTGTACATAAGGGTTAAATCCCCTGAGTACACAGGCCACAGGAACGACTTAAAAAAGATCAATAGTGGCCTGAAATGTCATCTGGTGAACAGTGATGTCAACACTCCCCAAGGGAGTGTCACTGTCAACTCGTGCACTAACTGGGCCTGGGAGGTTCACAGTAGGGCTGTCCTCAAGCCTGGTTCTATCTCCATCTGTTACCATGTTGTACCATGCATGACAGGTTGTTTTCGTGGCATTTTTTTCTCCCCTTTTCATGGCCTAATTTGAATGACTATCTATGATGTTTATTAGTACAGCTTGACTTTCCTACTGTATGAAGGTGTGGGATTTTTCAGAAAAAGAATATGTTGTCCTGAGAGAAAAAGGAGAAGTGAAAACCTGACAGCTGTGATTGACTGTGGAAGTATAGTTGACAGTTGTCAGATTCAGTTGCGAGGAGAGCTGTTAGTTGCTTTGGGCGGTGACAGTGTTACCAGTTGAAATGTTCTTGTAACCACATTAAGCCCTGTGATGAAACATGTCAGAGAAGACTTCCTGTCACTTGGGGACCACCAGGCCTTTTGTTTAACTTCAGACAGAAAGACAATCTAGAGTTGTTATGGGATTGGTATATTCTCAGCAATAACAAACAATGTTTTCCGTTGATTGTTCACTTCTCATGTCTGTTTGTTTGTTGTAGGGGGATTGTGTATATAGCTATGAATTTACAAGGGTATTTCAGAACTCCAAGGCATATGCCCAACACAGTATGAAGCAGATAGAAGCTGAGAGCCAAATATGATAGCATACCATTTTACCATCAGCCCCTAGGCAGACCAGACAGTAATAGGGGTTGTTATGTCACCATCTTGCCTTAAACAGTGATTTTTAATCAGATCCTGGTGCCCTTCATTAGAATGAGAAGGTAAATGGCAGCCCTGGCTGTGTGTGTATGCGTGCGTGCGTGCGTGGGTGCATGGTTGTGTGTGTATCTGTGTGTGCGCATACATGTGTGAAGTGGACTACCCCTCCCTCGGCCTGGTCTAGTCTGGCGAACTGTTTTAATGAGGGGATAAAGAGGCTCTGTCCCCCCCCCCCGCCTCCATTACACCCCATTATAATCATCATTAAGATAACCCACCACCACTCATTGTGTCCTCAGTGTTACAGCCTCAGCCGTCCTAGTGGCTAGACTCTAGCAGCAACACTGCTGCCTTCAGTTCCTCCACAATGTGTCTAGGGAAGAGAGGGGTTTCCACGGCAACATCAGTGAAGGGCGACATTTCGACAGAGAATTATTTGCCTTTCTCTCTCTGTCTCCTGTTTTTGCTCTCTCGTTTTCTCTCTTTCGCTCTCTCTCTCTTTCTCTCTCTCTCTCCCTCTCTCTCTGAGACAAGGCCCCCACCCAGACAAGGTATCCTTATTCCAGACCAGATTTTTATAATAAAGCTGTATTATTATACCCAGACCTGAATTCGTTAGGAAAGTCGTGACACCTTTGCCTCCCCCGCTGCTCCTGTAAAGTTGAAGGGGGAACGTGTTTAAAATCTCCATACAGCGTTTTATTACCTTTTATGGGCGTTTGAATCCTTGGAAGATTAAGCGGGTTCTAATAAGCCCTGGATATTCCATCTGCTCTGAGGCTCTGAGCTGAGAGGAGCTGAGCTCTCACTGGCTGCTAAAGGCTAGCTCTCATTTGGCTGCTCTCTGCAGCGCTGTGCTGTGCCCATGGAGCTGTTTAATTGAGGCTCTAGTAGGCCTTCTTGAATCTGCTGCATTAGAGGCAGAGATTAGAGATGCTTAAAGGGCCATTCTCTCCTTGGCTCTTGTCTCCCTCTATCTCAATCTGTCACTCTCCATTTGCTCCTTCTCTCTTTCATATTTGTCTCAAGTGATATTTCTGTATTCAGAGGGATTCCACTTGCTCCCTGCTGCTTTGCTCATTTGAAACCTATATTGTAGGTTTACTGCTGCTACCACTGTCTTGTTTAGTAATATTGTATTCACCCTGCATTTTTAAATTTAGCTGGCTGTGGTCAGGAAGAGATGATGAAATATGCCATTATCACTACTAGCACTTGTTCTGTCATCCACCATTTTCTCGAGGGGTGCTTTTTGTCAATAGACTCCAATTAAATTCTCCTTGAGATGTATCTTTTTCTGTGGCATTAGTTACATTGTAGCCCATTAAATTGTTATGCTCTCGGTATTAAACATGGCAATTCTGTGGAATGCTCTTCATTATAAAGGCTCCTTGTCTTCCCAGGGACAGATGAATTGGCTGTGATGAAGTGGCTGGCTATGTTCAAAGTGCTTGGCTAAAGCTTTAGAAATCCCTTGAAAGATCTGGGGGAGGGAGAACCAAAAAGCCCATGATAAGGGGCCATGATCTCTTTTCACAGCACAATTGAAACATAATTATTTCATGCCAGATTGTGTGCTCAGCAAAGCCCTGAATCGGAGCGGCATTTAACTTTAATTAGGTGTGATTTATTCATACTGACTGGATCGCTCGCAGAAATGTGATCATCTGATTATAGTCAAGCATGAAAATGACCTGATTAAACACTTCATGAAACCTAGAAAGAGAAAGAAAAAGGGAACCTTGGGTAGAAGAAGTGTAGTGGCAGTAAGGTGAGGGAGGGAGTGGGAGGGACCCACATACCACACATAGTTCTCTATAACTGTTAAACAGACACTTCTCCAAGCTTTTTCATTACACCAGGCAATGGTGAACCGTACCAAGAAATAGGTTGAATTCTAATAAGGAAAACATTTATAGTTGTTATGGTGGATGCTTTCAAACAGGTGTATTTCTACCTCCTCCCTTAACGTTTGTTTTTTCTTTGTCTATGCAGGTGTGTCAACGAATGAGAATCCCGAGTCCAAGACTGTCAGCTCGGCCAAAGTATCTGGGCTCCAGCGTAGCCAGGAGCAGAGTAACGAGGTGTCCTTCACCCCGCGTGTGTCCAGCCCCACCCCGGCCTCCCCGCCTTCGGGCTCCCCTGCCCCAGCTGCCACCGCGGCAGCCCCCCCTCAGCCACTCCCCAAGGCGCAGCTCACCTCCCCGCCCCCCCTCCTCATCAAGAGAGAGTCGGACCGGGCGCCGCCCATCCCCAGATTCCCCACCCCTCCCCTGCTGAGGGCCCAGCCCCACCCTCTCCAGGAGCACCGGGTCCCTGTCTCGCTCCCTCCCCCCCAACTCCAACATCAAGCCAGGCCTCTCATCAGCCACCAAGTGCACCAGCATCACCCGCTGCATTACAACAGCTTGCACGACATCAGGTACAGTAGGACCACATCTGATCCGTATACTCTGGGTCTGTTTAGTTATGTCTGATCCGTATGCTCTGGGTCTGTTTAGTTATGTCTGATCCGTATGCTCTGGGTATGTTTAGTTATGTCTGATAGGTATGCTCTGAGTCTGTTTAGTTATGTCTGATTATTATGCTCTGGGTCTGTTTAGTTATGTCTGATCATTATGCTCTGGGTCTGTTTAGTTATGCCTAGCAATCTTCTTATGCTCTATACCATGTGTCAAACTCATTCCACAGAGGCCGAGTGGTTGCGGGTTTCCGCTCCACCCTTGTACTTGTGTTAATTATGAATTAAGGTCACTAATTAGAAAGGAAATCCCCTTACCTGGTTGTCTAGGTCTTGATTGAAAGGGAAAACCCAAAATACGCAGACACTCGGCCCTCCGTGGAATGAGTTTGACACCCCTGCTTTATACCTTGCTGATATGATATAATATGATACAATTCCTTTTATATTGTCTACTCAAGTGGAAATTCAGGTCAGCACATCACACATTCTCAGCATTTACAGATGCAGCTTCCAGTCATGTAATAAACCAACAGAAATTCACTGAATACACAATCTGTAACTCATTGCTGACAAGGTCTTTCTCTTTCTCTGTCTTCTCTAACATTACAGTCACAGCGGCAGCAGTGCAGGCCTCCCCAAACACCACCACCTGCCCCCCTCACCACACCACCTGAGCGGCCTCCCCTCCTCCACCCCGGCCCTGCCCCTGTCCATAGCCAACCTTTCTACCTCGCACTATTCCTCCCTGCGAAGCCCGGCCCATCGCCATCCGGCCATGTTCGCAACCCCCGCCACACTTCCGCCACCTCCGACCTTACCCACCAACAGCCTTGTGGTCCCTGGGCACCCCGCTGGCACCCCCTACCCAGGTAACACTGCCCTCCTGCCCGCTCTGGCTGCAAGGCTAGACTGTCTCTAACATTAAGTAGCAATTCATCCAAAGTAACAATCTTATACTGTGATTTCCAAGTCAATTGTTGCAGAAATAAATGTAAACCCAACTGCACAGTACAAGCTTCCAAGTACAGCGGGAATAAATTAAGTGATTTATGTAACATTAAGTAGGAGTTAACATGCCAGGTTACATGATCCTGTAACAAGCGCTGTAACCATTCAATTATAATTGTATGATGTGGTAAGTGAACTTATTTATTACAATTTCACATGCACTAAAGGAGGGAATAATGGTTAGATAAAAGACTATATTAAATAATCCCATTACAAATAATAAAGGCATTTGAAATATGTTGATGCCCCTCCATGTTACTTTAACTATGGTAGAGATTTATAAAGTCGAAACAATATTAGCCTGCATTTGTAGACACGGCACCCCTTTGTTAGTTCTATTTTTGTCATCTGGGTTTGGAGTGAAATGCCAGAGGATCTTTTCTCCTCCACACTGCATGCTGTCAACTACCTGTTCTCTTATGCCAGGTCAGGGGGAGGTCATGTTAGATAAGACGTAAGACTTTCATGTTAAAGCTACCCTTTTGTTCTTCTATTGTGTAAATGCTGTAATGTTTACACAGTATTGAAATATGTCAAATGTAGACGAATTGTATCTTTATATGACTTTGTCTCTGTATAAGAGAAATTATTGGTTGTTGTCAATTATTCTTTATTGATACTATTTGAATGTTTATTGTACTGTAATAGACATTTAAAGTAATAATACTAGGAGTAGCTAGAATATGTAGCATTGAGATCTAAGACAGAGTGGAGGGAGAGTCTGCTGTGTTGTCTGCTGAGGTGACTCTTGGTTCTCTCTTGTCTTTAGATACCAGCCTGTTGATATCATTCAACCAACCAATCATGTATTGCCAGCCTCATTCGGGGATTCTGATTGGCACATTGTCACAGGCAACTCTCTTACCACCACCAATGAGTTCTCACGTAGAAAACCCTCACAGCATGAGCTGGAGAAACAGAGAATGCCAGGTGACTATTTTTTCTTCTCTTCTACCCCTGTTGTTAAGACTGACTGGCGCCGTGCCTTTCTTGTGTCTCCCTTTTTTCCCCCCTTTTCTCGCTCTCCTTTCTTGCAGAGCATGACCTCCTGCGGCAGGAGCTGAACAACCGCTTCCTGGTTCAGAGTTCAGAGGGGCGGAGCCGGGGGCCGTCCTCCGCAGGGTCCCCGCTGGCCCCTGTGTCGCTCCTGAGGGGAGCGTTTCACCAACACCAGCACATGCATCAGCACCAACACACCCACCAGCACACCTTCACGCCCTTCCCGCCCAGTCTGCCCCCGGCCGCCATCATTACTCCGCCCACCGCACCCCCCATGGTGCGTACCCCAGCCAGAAATGTGAGGATAAGTAAAGCTCCCATATACAGTACCTCAACCCCCCCCCCCCCCCCCCCCCCCCCCTTCCTTGTCACCCAAATCGCCAAACGACCCCCCTGGTCACCCCTCTCCAGTACCCTCCCAACTGATAGGGCCAGAGCCTGCCCTCCTTCCCCAACCAACCATATGCTATCCATTCCCCCTTCAGCTGGTTGGGTCTCTTGGTCCTCTGCATACTGTCACAGTGACACTGTAACAGTGTGTTTTTACTGAGAGTTGAGAAATAGGAGGGAGGGGCATAATCGTCACTACAACCCCATAATGAGCAGTACAACATCTAACCTGTCATCTCCCCTCCACAGTACACATGTTTGTAGTGGTTCATCCTCAATGCTGAAACCAGACCTAACTCACAGACTGCTGCTGCATATAATACTAGACGTTATGCTTTGGGACCAGAGTTTTACATGTGGGTTAGCTTATATAGAGGACCGAGCTTCATTTCTTTACAATGCACAAAGGCTCACTATATGCCCCTTTTCCTTTCCAACAAAAGGAAGCTTGCACAAGCCATGCCATTCAATGTACGTCAGTACAGTTGATTCAATTTATTCAATATTCTCTCTATGAACATGACATACATTTTGCCGTTTACATTTTTTGCCCTGGAACAAAGGAGACCAATTGAAGGGAGTGTTTTTATTGTTTTCATATGGATGTGTTTTAAATGTTTTTGAATGTTCTGATTTCCCTGCACCGCAGCAGAAACAAAAGGGCCTTCCAACAGATGTGTGGCGTGACTGCGGTGCACTGGGGGCTTATGCTCAGCAATGACAAATTCAAAGCCTGTGGTTACACTCAATGACTTCATTCCAGATGAAAGGGGGTGACGTCATTCGGACTGTTTTGATAATGCATAATTGCTTCCGTGCCTTTTCAACCGCCATCAGGCAAGGCACCGGCATCGAGTCAGCCAAGGGTATAACATTGGCAGCTCTAGATCGGAAAATGTTTCCCCGGAAAAGTTATGAGTATTCATCCATCATTTGGAATGCATATAGCAATCTGAGAAACCCATTCAGACAGGACACCCATTTGTGCCTTTTCAGCATTAGCCTAATAGATATAATCCATCATGTCATGACCCCTGATTAAGAGGCTAGGGCCCATTTAGAGCACCAGGAGCTCTTTGCTTTGTGGAATCTAACATTATCCCTGTATGTCAGAAACCCCAGGAAAAGGGCTTAGCTTATGTACAGTACATTATACAGCTATCTGATAAGCAGTCAGGGAGATTGTTTAGTTTAGATTGTGTCTCTTAGTCAAAAAGCATGTGTAGGCTGCTGTTCTCTTCTTCTGTCTGCAGCTGATCCCGCCATTCCTCTATATGTCAGCCAGGCATTATGTGTATGTACCCTGTTTGAAGAGGAAGATAACTGGAGTTATTTTGTCATCTTGCTAATAATGGTATTATGTGGTGTATGGCTGTGTGCAATCACATCTTTATGTTGTGGCTGATGCATTGTTGTTACAATGGAATTTAAGACTGTTAATGTATTCTGTTTTATTGAGACTGTTTTTACTTAACCCATGTTGTTTTCTCTCTCTCCCTACCCTCCAGTAACATTGCTATTTCACCTCCATTTTACTGTTTAGAGAGGCACGAGTAATGTTGATGTTGTGGTTGTTTTTAGTGTTTGTCATGAAGTGTGCAGTTGAATCGCATCGGCCCAGCTGTGCTCACTTTAAGCGCTCCATGTCATTTCAGCTATGTAACAGCCCTTGGCTAATAGCTGTAATTAATGAAATTATGAATCCTCTGTATTTGTTTATTGTTCTACACCCTCAAGCAGCTGGCCTTGCCAAATGGCAACACTGAGTGTCTATTTTCCCCTCTGTCGTCTTAGGGAAAAGGAAGATCCTTAATTGTTTAAAGATGAAATATCGAGCTTTAATTATCCAAAGCTGTTTACAATAAACCTCTGACAGGCCCTGTAAATTACAAAGCATGAGTTTTATAGACAGCCATAAAGCCACCAGCGAGTATTACTCCCCCAGTGTAAAACATAAAACAGGCCCGGTGTAGAAGGGGAGCGGACCGGTTTAATGTGCTCGGAAGCTGCCTCAGCATTTCCACTCAATAGGGTGTCTGTGTTTGATTTGGGACAATTATCGCCCGCAAACACAAACACGCTGCCCGCCGCTGTGGCCATTCTCTGTGGCGGATGTTGAATGGCCCCGCTTCACTGGGAGGCCCAGCCCAGTAAGAGAGAGGAGCTGTGCCGAGTGTGTTGAGCGAGAAAACCACCTCCTTTCCCGTTTATGTTTCAGTAGGGAGGCACACACACACACACACACTGATTCATGTGCAACCCGTTTTCCCTTTTTATGTAAACCCAAACCAGCGGTGGCTTGCCAAGAAGGCTTTGTAAAAACACTCACGGAAATACATGCAAATGGTTGGTGTATTTACAGAATAGGAATAAGTTACTGTCAGTTGCAATTAGCCAGTTTCAAAAGGAGGAGCTGTATTGGCTTACATGAAGGTATAATCAGATACTGTATATAAGGCTATAGTCTTTCTGTTGAAATCCAAATGTCATTATTCTATTAGTCATAGGGTATGCTTCGGAAAATGTTTCATTATATTAAACCATTTGAGGCTTCCAACGTTATTTCAGTCCCATGCTGTACATGTCCAAAACGAGCTCCCTTGCATTGAAAATGTAGTCTGCCCAATTCAATTTCACCTATAAAAGACTTACTGTTCGTATACCCACAGTTATATGATCTTACGCATAAAATATTGGCATGTCTCTGCGATTTTCTTTCAAGTCTCTCTTTCTCTCGTCACTAACACTAAAATGACAACCCTTTATAGTATATTTGTCTCTGTGTGCTCCGTTTCCATAACAGAGATCATTGTAAAAACCCTACATCTGTCACAGCCAATTAGATTAACATTTCTCCAAATGTTCCACCTAATAAGAATCATAACTCAATCTTCTAATTTTACACGGGGGCTTTTTTGTGAGGTAGGGAGAGCTCCCCCCGCCCAAGTATAGTACTGTATCTATGCCTAACTCAATGGCTGTTTTTCTGTGGTGCAGACAAATTGAAAAATCATGTCTTCCTAATCTTGGTAGTCCATTTGATTAGTCATATCGCTGATGATTTAACTTCATCTCAGTCTGCCGTCCGGCCAGCCAACCACATGCTAAATGAAACAAACTCATTACCCCAGAATGCTCACTGTTTTCTTTAAGCCAGCTGTTGTCAGATGTCCTGGACTTATGATCTGACTGATGTTGTACTGAACTTCCTCTCTCCTGTGTTGTTGTATCACTGAATAGGTATAATGAGTCAAAATTGTGTTTCATTGTATTCCTTTGATGGTCTTTGGTTCATAGATGCAGAGTTCCTGTTATTGTTATTGGTCAATTTGGCATCACTGACGTATTACTCTCTTTTCCTTCTTTTTTTGCAGTTCGACAAATACGCTCCAAAACTGGACAATCCATTCATTAGACATTCAAATGTAAGTAACCCTATTTATTCCTTTCAACTTCCATCACCATGCTTTTAGCATGTTTTCTATCAAATATTTACTGTGGTTAGATATTTGAAGTTTGGAGATAGAAAATATCACTGTATTCTTCTACACGTGTTGAAGTATGTGTGGGTGTTGTCTCTATGCGGCTTGTTGGAATCTGTTTTAAGAGGTGGTTTTGTGTCTCCTCTCCTCCATGTAGTTCTTCCCCTCCTACCCCCCCACAATGCCAGGCATGCCCCCGCTGCTCCCACACTCAGGACCCTTCAGCTCACTGCAAGGAGCCTTCCAGCCCAAGGTTAGCCCCACAGACCTACACACACATGCATTGCACATGCACACACACACAAAATACAGTACCTGCATTTACTCATCCACTCACACAAAGCAAATACATTGTACGCACACAGACATACACATATCCAAACTCATTCACTCACACAGGACAAAAACACCATACACACAAATAAACAAGCACCCACAGTTTTTCACAAACACACCCGCACTGGCAACTTACTATTTGCTCGACATCTCACCCAAGAAATTAGGATAGAATTAGGGGGTCTGAATAGCACCAAAGCCTTACTTTTCATTCTGTGTACAGGGCAGCAGCCAGCTGCATTTGAATTGAACCAGCCTGATAAATCTGTTCCTGCTTATTTTTTTCCAATAATGGACTATGCAAACAAGGCCTGTCTCTAAGCTGGCTGGGCCTGAGCCGCGCTGCACTGAGCAGGGGGAGATAAGCAGCAGCCGTGTGTGTGTCGCTGGCTGGTGTGTGACGATCAGGGCCTGGCAGGCGCCCAATAGGCTCTGACCCTGTTGTAAGCCACCAATCAAAGCTGGCCTAAATCCCCTGGATTTATTCCCCACAGGCTCTATTATGGAGGCCTTTTGTTGGCTGCCTCCAGATGGTTAGAGTACAGTACAGTTAGCCCCCTCCATCCCTCCATTCACCACCTAAAGCTCCCCGCTGGGCACCACTGAGCAGCAGGAGAGGGGTTGGAAGATAGAGAGGGTGGTGGATGGAGGATGTGGTGCTAGAGGTTACAGGGATCACCTAGTACTCTGGGATGTATTAAGATGGCTGATCTAGGCATTCTGGTTCTTCTAGACCTCAAAGACAGAGACCTCTATCCTTTGCTGTCTTTTGCTGATTCTGCACTGGAGCCCTTAAAGGAGTGCTAGTCATTGATGTCACAAACAGTTGCTAGCTGCAGACTCTTTGTTGTGAATCAATGCAGAAGAGCCAATGTTTTTGAGTGTGTACTGGTTTGCTTATGTTCTGCTTCAGTCTGTGCAAAGTCCATATTTCCACCATCTTTGTAACACATTTGCTTTGCCTCTTTCTCTCCTCCATCTATTTATCCTCTCTTTTAGTCCTCCAACCCAATAGACGTAGCCTCCCGTCCGGGGGCAGTACCTCACACACTCCTACAGAAGGACCCACGGGTTAGTAGACTACTGGCCCTGGTTGTCCCTCGAAAACATCAAGCACACACTTTTCTCTCAACAATAGAGAGTCATTAAATTGATTGGTTGTTGTTGATTGTTATGTCTGTGGGTTAATAATAATAATGGTTCATATTTTCTTTTCTCGTCACAGGTATCAGATCCTTTCAGGACATCAGTCAGAGTAAGAGATTATTTCATGTTCCTTTAATGCACTGTCAAATCAACTACAGTACCAACGTGTCATAACATTGAGTAAATTCTACAGTACCATCGCATCATAACATTGAGGTTTTGGGTCTGACCTCGAGTCATTTGCTTATTTCCAGAAACCTGGCAAGTGGTGTGCGGTGCACGTCCAGATCGCCTGGCAGATCTACCACCATCAGCAGAAGATGAAGGTGGGCCAGCTCAGTCTCTCTGTGTGTGTGTGTGTGTGTGTGTGTGTCTGAGTGTGTATGTGTCTGTGTGTGTCTGAGTGTGTGTGTGTGTGTCTGTGTGTGTGTCTGAGTTTGTGTGTCTGTGTGTGTGTGTCTGAGTGTGTTTCTGTCTGCGTCTTGGGTGGCAGAAGGAGGTCAGGGGAAGGGAGGGAAGGGCTGTGCCTGCTCTGCCAAATGTTTTCTTTTCCAGAGGATTCCTCTCTTTCTATATCTAGTTAAGCAGCGGCCATTTTGGTTGTGGCTTGGAAAACTCCTATTGTGTTGTCTCTGTCATGGTGACACTGTCATAGGCACCCTGTCCTCATGGAGGTTTAGTGGGCCTAATCAGCTTACACTGATTTTGTTATGACACAGTGGGTATGTGTTGGGGATCTAGAGGCATTATTTATGTTGTCACCCCTCTCTGATCTCACACAGTGATTATATCACTGATTATAGCAGATTAGAAGTCCCTCCTTGAACTATGAAATTGCTGGCATCAATTATTGTTAATTACTACATGTGCAAACACTGACAGTGCCACTCTGTTTCTTTTCTTCCTCCTCCTCCTACCTTTTCTTTTCATCTCCCTTGTGTTCTCTCTCTCTCTCCCCCTCTGCCCCCCCCCCTCCCTCTTGCTAACAGCAGATGCAGGTGGACCCTCACAAACTGGACATGAATGGAAAGCTGGACCTGTTCAGTCGTCCCCCCGCCCCGGGGGTGTTTCCTGGGTTCCCCTACACCCACGACCTGGCACGACCCATGTTCTCCTCCACAGGTCAGTACAGGGCTCATCGTCAGCCACCCAGCACAGGGCACATAAGGACAGGTCAATCTTTTGTAGACGGAGGGGGGAGGGGCAGACCATTTTGGGGGGATCGCACTACAGACATCTATATCGGTTCACTAATACAGCACTAGTAAAGGCCCAGTGCACTACTTTTGTGATTTCTTTTCATTTATATATATATATATATATAGATATATATAATTTTTTTATTCCTGATTTTTTCAGGGGGTGCTACGCCACACCCACGGAGGTTAGTTTATTTTCCGCAATGAGTCTGGATCTGAGTACCTCCCCTATGATTTCTGGAACACAAACACATTCTAACCGTTCTGATTGGTCCCAGAAACCGATGGGTTGGGCCAGAGCCAGAACACATGGGTAAAGTGGCATTTTGAAACTTCGTCATTGGCTTTGATACTCAGATTGGTTAGAGATAATCCAATCGCTGATTACTTTTTGTACAACACCCCTCATTTTGACGTCACCACAAACGACTTCAACGATGGCAGTCTCAGACTGAAGTATGTAGCGAACATAGAGCAGCGGAATAATTAAGTTTGAGTCGTCAGGCAACAGCTGACCCTAGTTGAACTGCTGTTGTTCTAAATGTTGTCCCAGACATGCGACTGTGTCAGATGTGGCCATGAATATGGATGCTTCTCTATGAGTGACTCCCAAATGGCACCCTATTCCCTACATAGTGCACTGCCTTTGACCAGGGCCGGGTGCCATTTGGAACACACACTGTGGGATAATTGACTGGTAGAACCTGCCTTGAAAGGCAACATGGAGGCGGATGCCCTTTAGCTTGTAATTATGCAGTATTGTATTATCATGTATGGGCTTGTAATTGGCTCGTTCATTAACCATTCATGATATATGGGTGAAGAACTTTTTGTAAAAGAGGTCAACGTCTGTTCATAACAAAGCGCCCCCATCCACACACACACACACACACGCTCACGTGAGACTATTGAATGTTATGCTAATTTCTATCAAGCCTTTTTTAACCAACCACTGTTAACCCTCTGAAACATCAGATATCCTTCACTGTGTTTTTGGTGGTTTTAATGTTTAGCTAATTAGCATTGCTATTGTAAAATATTGCTAACTGTCCACATTTGAAAGATTAGCATTAGCCATTTGTCTTCTGTCAGGAGCGTGTCAGAGGTCACAAGGTTAAAGGTCACCATAGAGCTGACAGGGTGTTTTATTTGGGGGCGCTCTCCTCTCAGTCAGACATACCTCTGCTTGGATGCCTAGTTCTCCCGAGTGGCGCAGTGGTCTAAGGCACTGCATCGCAGTGCTAGCTGTGCCACTAGAGATCCTGGTTCAAATCCAGGCTCTGTCGTAGCCGGCCGCGACCGGGAGACCCATGGGGCGCCGCACAATTGGCCCAGCGTCGTCCAGGGTAGGGGAGGGAATGGCCGGCAGGGATGTAGCTCAGTTGGTAGAGCATGGCGTTTGCAATGCCAGGGTTGTGGGTTTGATTCCCACAGGGGGTATAAAAAATAATGTATGCACTAACTGTAAGTCGCTCTGGATAAGAGCATCTGCTAAATGACTAAAATGTAAATGTAGTTAGAGGTTATGACGGATGGCTGCTGTGGTGCTACTATCTGAGTGGACACACTGAGGTAACCTGGTTTCTCATCTCTCTCTCTCTCCTCCCATAGGTTCTGGCCATCCAGCTGCCTCCCCTTATGGCCCCTCCCCCCACCACAGTGGCTTCCTGCCTCCCAGCCACTTGGCAGGTAAGTGTAAGTAGCACTACATTTTACATTCACCTTTTCCTTATTCTTTCTCACACTTTTTGTTGCACTCATATTGAGAATACTTCTACTGTCACTAGGGCATAGGGTTGCAAAGGGAGGGTATATTACTGGTAACTTTCGAAGCCTTTTTGGTTACTTCAGATTATCACAGGTGTCTGTAATTATCTCTGGCCTTTTGTGTGGTCTTATTGCATGTAGAATATATAAAATAATCAAATAAAATTATAAAAATGTATTAATAGAATAATTAATAGATAACGCTATAAAGCATTATCCTAAATATAAACCATCAACTTAGTGCTGTTTAATATGAGAGTTTCAGCATGAAATATCCTTAATTTTTTTTACACACTTTTATTTTACTATGTCAATATGTTTTTGTTGTAAATCAGGGCTCAAAACTGCGACCAAAACACTTGCATTTGTGACCCTTTGACTTGGCAGTGCAACCCCAATTTGTTATTGGTCTCTAAGGTGCAAGTCACATTCGTTTTTGATTCACAATTCGCTTTTATTTAAAAAAATATTTATTCAAACAGAAATGGGTATGCAACAATGGGTATGCAGACCAGGTATGCAAAAAGTTTGGTCTGAAGTCTTGGTTGAATCTTTGCGATGTGCAATTCAGTCATCATGCGCTGTTTGAATACACAAGGCTTTCCCAATTAAATGTTGACTGCAAAGTGAATGATATCATCATGATTTGCATCAATCACAGGGCATTTGTTTTGCAAACTCTGCCGTCACATGTAGCCTGCACTGTACAATACAAAGACACTGTCACTTGCTTGGTGCGCACTTACATTTTAGTCATTTAGCAGACGCTCTTATCCAGAGTGAGTTACAGGAGCAATTAGGGTTAAGTGCCTTGCTCAATGGCACACTGACAGATTTTTCACCTAGTCGGTTCTGGGACACAAACCAGCGACCTTTCAGTTACTGGCCCAACGCTCTTAACCGCTAGGCTACCTTTTGCCCTACAATTGAATTAAAGGGCAACTACACCATCCACATTTTTTTGGGGGGTGGATTGTTCCCAGACCTCAAAAGTGATCTCCTTGTATGGCCCTACAACTGTAGAGTGACTGTTCAGAATTTCTTCCCTCCAAACAAGCAATGTAAATATTATATTGTCAAGTTAAAATGTCATTATTTGTGTATGGAGGGTAGGTCATTATAGGCTATAGGATACTTGCTCAGCCCGCAAATTTAAGATAACATTTAAATGATGCACGCATCACCGCTTTCCAGGGCCAGTATTGTTTTCATTCGGGCCAGTAGCTTTCAGTTGGCACTGGCCCGGTGTGCCACTTGCAAATTTACCTAAATGTCAAGCCCTGCAAGGGCATAATTTAAAAGATGGCTAGTTATTATTAGCCTGGTTCTGTATGGAATGCAGGCACATTATTGGACACAGGTCAGGTCATTATCACCGCTCAGTGGTAAAAAGTTGGTGCAACCAAATCATATGCTGGTGCCATCAACTGAAAAAGTAAAAAACAGTTAGTCTAGAGCCCTGTAAATGTTTTGGCGCCAAACTGGTGGCAGTTGTGAAAAAAGTCAATAGTTGGAAGAGTGCCATTGTTTATTTGATGCTTTTTTCATTAATTAGGCTTTTCTCTTGAACCATATGGTCTATCCACTAGAAACTCATGGACAATATGGACACTGATATCAAAAATGAATACTATATATTAATATATTTTTTTGTTTTGTTATTCAAGTATAAATTACCAAAGTTACCATAGATTGCCATAGATTGCCATAGATTACCTGTTAATTACCAATATTACTGAAATGTTTGGTAACTTTGGTAAATTGCCAGTAGTTTTGCAACATTACTACGGCATCATTTGATAACACAGCCATTTGTTGTTTGGAAAATACATTAAGTTGAAGGTTATAGTAGGGATTTAGAGGTCCTTAGTTAGCTAGTGAGGTCATCCTGTTGCGCCATCTCTCGCACTGAATTTTACTTTAGGGGTGTATAGAGCGAGCCCTCCCCCTGTGATTCATAAAATATACCCTTGAATAACCCTCCTTCCTGTACTGATGTGGAAGGAAGGCCACTTTGGGCTTGTTGAGGTAGTATTTCTAATCCCCCCGACTTTATTTTCCAGCCCCTTTGTTCAAGTGAAGGTATTTCACTGCACAACACTCCTGTCTTATTTCATACTGTCTTGGACAGAGGCAGATGGCCTCAGCAAATATTACATTTTACCTTGAGGCTTCTTTCTATAGCCTCTTCAAGTTCTGCTCGTCTATTTCACAGACAGAGTAATAGAGGTTTTTGTATTCTTCTGTATTTCCTGTCAAAAATGTTGTTTGGCTTCAGTGCAGCAAGGTGATTTCACGGGATAAGCTCTTGAGTCAATCCAATTTGAGTTTATAAACACCTGGTGCACAGGGGGAAAATGTTATTACACCCCTCAAAGATTTTGGGTGAAATTCCTGCCCAAAGAACGAACTCAAGTGTGACTCGGCAGGAAAGATTTTCTAGCTGTTGTTTGCTGATATATTGACAAACCGTTGCATTGCATTCACCACAGAGTGGAAGTCTTTAAAAACTAGATTAAAGGATCATTCATAATTGATATATCCTCAGTAATTTTCCATTATGTCTCCTGATTCCTCCGGTAGGTATGCATACCTTTCCATTTTTAGTTTCATGTAAACTGTGACCAGGTTTAACTAAGGCACTTAGTAAAAAAAAGTACTACCTAGAATGAAAAAGGTTTCTTCGGTTGGAACCATTTTTGGGATCCAGGTGGAATCTTTTCACCCAACGAAGAACCCTTAAAGAACCCTTGAACCTGGATTCAAAAAGGGTTATTCCACAGGTACAGCCGAAGATCCCTATGGTTTTAGGTAGCACATTCTTTCTCAGAGTGTGCAGGTAAAAATTGAAGTATGAAACACTCAAGCCTCTGTAAAACCTAGTAGACAAACATTCTCCCTTCAAGCAGCTATGTGCCTGACTGTCCAGACTGCACATATCAAATCCCCTGTCCATTTGTAGTCCAGCTCCAACCTAGACCCCATCATACTCCCTAGCATCAGGATCAGAGATCAAAGGCTCTCCGCTCCATTACGGACAGTGTGGGAGTAAATCCAGTGTCCAAGAGGCGTGAGTGGCCAGAGCAGGTAGCCAGCCTCGCTAGCTAGCTACATACAGTAGGATTAGAGGAAGCAGTATGGCGGCGCTAGAAAACACACAGCTCTGCTTGTAAGAGAAAAGCTGAGTGGAACGAGTGGTCGGGCTCCTCCAGCCAGCTCAGCTAATCCCTGTTTGGCATTTTGCAGATCCTTTCAGTCGCTCCAGTACCTTTGGCGGCCTCGGCAACCTTTCAACCAGTGCCTTCGGAGGATTAGGCAACCCCTCGCTTGGTAAGCGCCGACCCCCCGCCCCCCACGGCCAGACACAGCGCAGCTCAGCTTTAGACCACAGGGAAGGGCCAGGGAAGAAAGAAATCAAGGCACTTAGCTCTGCATCAAATGCCAAAATAAAACTAGCACAGGGAGGAACAAAAAGGCAGGCAGTACAGCTCTCTCTCTCTCTCCATCCCCCTCTCCCCCCTCCCCAGTAGCTTGGCTTCAATCTGACAGCAACACTGCCAACGCACACAGCACTCACAGGCTTGCTGTTTGGTTGCTATTCATGTATTAATTCTTCTACAAGCCCCCTCATCGCCACTGTGGAGGACTCTCTCCCTCTCACCCTCTCTCTCTCTCCCTCTCTATCTCACTCATATTCTCCTCTGCCAAATCAGTTGCCTTGCAGTGAAATGGATGTCAGTGAAATAGACACGCTATGGAATGCTAAGGTCTCCCTGGCTTTTCACAACCCTCACCCCCAGAGGGCAATTGAGTACCCCCCATCCACCCTCCTTTCCAGTAAAAAGGCCCTGAGAATGAGGAGTGAATGGGGGAACAGAGCAGAGTAGGGCCCTTGGTCCAAGCAGCTAGAAGTGCAAAGGGGGAAGCCATTAACCTTGCCAGTCTTTGTAAAGCAGAGCTCTTTGCAGCAAGAGACCGCTCGGAACCCTCAGGACAAAGACAAAGTTGCTTTTGTGTAGATTTTCTTTCTTTCCTTGTCTTCAGTCTCCATCTTATGTTGTGTGTCCAGGAGGGGGTTTAGTTTGATTCTTTTCTCCATGTCTCCGCTCCTTAAGGCTCCAACAGTATCTTTGGCCATAAGGAGGGCCCAGGGGGCCTGCCAGGCTTCGGCAGCCCCCACCACGACACCTGGAACAGGCTCCACCGGACCCCACCCTCCTTCCCCACCCCGCCGCAGTGGCCCAAGTCTGCAGACACGGAGCGCAGCAACTCAGTCAACAGCCACGAGCGAGAGAGAGAACGAGAGAGGGAGCGGGAAAGGGAACGGGAGAGGGAGAGAGAAAGGGAGAGAGAACGGGAGAAAAGGGATTCATCCATCAGCAAAGAGGAGAAGGATAAAGACAGGTATGTATTCTATATGAGAACAACTCTGAATCATTTCTATTAGTTGTAAGTAACACAAGTTGTTGTGTTATTTGAATGCACATTTTCATGCACACATATTTCCAACCCAAAAATATTTCCACCCTTCTACCCTTCTGATAAATACATATTTGTATTTTGTTTGTGTCCCTCACAGAGATTCGATTGACCGTAACCGTCACTCGAACCGTTCGTCCCCTGCGTCGGCTCAAACCAGCTACCAGATCAGCAGCCTGATCCGCTCTAACAGCCAGAATTCCAGCGACTCGGGTCGCCACCACAGCGGCAGTGTGGATCGGGTCCGGGAGGCCGAGAAGGAGCTCCTGGAGCGCCACCGAGAGGCAGCCATTCTGGGGGACGTCAAGGTGAAGGAGAGCCGCTCACCTGGAGGAGGGAAGGATGTGACAGACAGAGACAGACGCTCCACAGAGGACTCCATCAAACTAGCCCACCGCACGCCCTCTCCCTACCCCAAGGCTGTCCTATCTGAGACAGGAATGAAGATGGCTGGTGGCCCCCCACCCACTCTACTCAAGGACGGGGACAGGGACAGGAAGGAGGGTCCTCCGTCCTCTGGGGGGGACCTGCTGCTGCACAAGGCAAAGAACGACATGAAGATCAAGGAGGAGCGCAAAGAGGACCAGGAGGTGATGGTGGTGAGCTCCGAGCCTGCCCCTCAGCCTGCTCCTCCTCCTCAGCCTCTACCTCCTCCACCGCCCCAGCCCGGTCACCACCACCACCACCACCCTCCTCTGTCCCAGCAGCCCCCTCCCCCCTCACCACGCTGCAGTGACATGCCCACCCACAGCTCCCTGCACGGGGTGCATATGGCCCACTCCCTGCCCCTCTCCATGAGTGCCATGCACCAGATGGGCAGTCTCAACGTGCTGGACCGGGCCCGCATGGCTCCCTTTATGGGGGTGAGCCCCCTGGCTGCTGCTGCTGCAGGGAGGGACCGGATGCCCCACCAAGCCTTCCCCTGGGACCCTCTGAGGGAGGCCTACCGCAACCTGGACCTGCAGCGCAGGATGGACTTCCAGCTGAGGGCTGAGCAGGCCCAGCGCTTCCCCAGCATGTACGAGCAGGAGCGGGCTTACCGGGAGAGAGAGGCCCATGACTACTCCCACCATGAGCACATGCTGGAGGTAAGGCGGGAACACGAGAGGATGAGGCAACAGGCAGAAGAAAGAGAGCGCCAGCACCTGAGGGAGGAGCTGGACCGGGCGCGGCTCCACCAGCTGCACCAGTCCCCCATGGAGGGACACCTGCCACACATGCCCTCCTTCATGCCCCACCTGGGCGGCATGCCCTACCCCAGACTCAGCCCCTCCACCGGACACAACGGCCTGCTCAACCGGACGCCCCCCACAGCTGCCCTTAGCGCCCCCCCTCCCCTAGTGCCCGCGGGCAGCGCCAGAGCAGCCTCCCCCAGAAGGACTACCCCCCTCACCACCCAGGACCCCCGAGATTACTCCCCCTCCCGCAACCCCAAAGAAGTGGAGGCACGGTAGCTTAACATAACAGACAAAGGACATGGATGCTTAAAAAGACGCACTCCCCAATTTGGAACCTTCTAGAGAGAACAAAATGCACTGCTTTTCAATGGAGAAAGGTATAAGTAAAAGAGAAAAAAGTATGATTGTACAAAGTAAAGATTTGTAAGGGTGAAGAAGCACATGCCATGCTTTTATTTTATATTGACAGGCTGTTATGAATGTTGGTTAGAAGAACACGAATCAAAAAGTATGTGTATGTTAGTTTCCGACTTAAAAGTTGATATTAATATATTAATCCAAAACCTTTTGTCGATTTTGCGTGAAAAGTGAGATTCTGATTGAAAAGTGAGATTCTGATTGAAATGAGTTTGTACATTTCCTATCCTCGTGCCATGGATAGACATCATTTTTATGAATTTGTATTTTGTGCATTAGTCTCTTTTTTTCTATATTTATCCCAGTCCATTGTGAGACATATCAATGATGATGCTCCACACTGGATGATGCTCCACAATTTTTACCCTTACAACAGTAATTTAACCTCATGGTACCTGAAAATACTCATAAATGATCATGTACAAAGTTACATTAAAGATTTGTTGCATTTTATTTGGTTAGCCTTTGAGATATCCAGACAAATATATATTACGAGGTCTTTGTTCGGTCTCTGTAAAGAAAAGTTCATGTAAATATCTTGTTGATATTCATTGCAGCAAAATTACTATGTAAATTTATTAGGCTTTTTAAATGTTTCTAGAAAAACTAATGAAATCAAAACAGAACCACTTCCCGGTTGGAAACCATGGTAACAGACAAGCCTGTCCAATGGGAGGGAAGTAGGGCGGGCATCAGAAGGGGGCCTGGAATGATCATCTGCAATCTATGCAAAGAGGCACTGAGCACCCCGATGGAGAGCCACCTGGAATGGAATGGACTGTTGGATAATGTTGATTCAGTGAGAGGAACTTGGATTAACTCAACATGTTTTTCTTTCCAATCATGGGAAATGGAATTAAACCTACAGACTTCCTGGTTACAGATAAACTGTACCAGAAGCTTACATACAGCCCCAGTGACAGCAAAGGAAGACACTTTTGATAGGGCGGCAATAGAACTTTCTCTGTCGACCGTTGTGGTGTTGTGCAGTTGTTTTTCTTAGACTTGTATTCAAAACAAGTAGAGTTTTAGGCGTGCAAAAAAATGAAAACGAACATTCATGGTTTAAAGTTGTACGGAATAAAGTTTGGACCTAATACCTGCAGTATATTGCTTTTTATTCACATGCATGATATTTCTCTGAAACCAGGGATACTGGATGTAACCCCCTTCTAAATGTAAAACGGTGGCATAACAATAATACACAAATCACTGAAGAAAACAGTTTTTCATAGATTTGCCAATACTGCCAGTATCTTAGCTTGCTCATTTCATTTAGCACATTTCTAACAAATCATAAAGGAAATACAGTGCAGTAGCCCAGTATCTAAAGCCAAGGGGGGTTAGCTGCAGGGCTTGCACAGCTCTCCTGAGGGATGGATGGGTTTGGAGAGAGGAGAGGCAATAGAGGGTGGGACTAATAGGACATTGATTTTGTAAGAAAGCAGGTTTTGAGTGTTTGTGTTGCAGCTAACCACTATTGACTGGAGGCCGAGCGGAGTATTGACCTGCGGCCTGGACTCATTAAGAGGAGCAATGCCAGGGAGGGAGGCAGCAGGCTATTGGATGTTAGAGGGGAGGAGAGCCGCTCTCCCATAATCACTCTCCCCCTTCTCTCACCTCCTATCCCCACACACATCTGTTTTGCTAATGAAGCCGGAAGGTCCTCCGGAGTGGTCCGAGGAGGGGGACATATAGACGCCCCGTCCCGCTATCGACGAGGGCCTTTCTCAATTCAATTCAATTCAAAGCAAGTGGAATAGATCATAAACAAAAGTGAAATAATCAATACAAAATTAACAGTAAAGATTACACTCACAAAAGTTTCAAAAGAATAGAGATTTTAAATGGTATATTGTGGCTATGTACGGTGTTGTAGCAATGTGCAAATAGTTGAAGTACGAAAGGGATAGATATAGATTGTTTTTACAATGGTGTTTGTGCTTCACTGGTTGCCCTTTTTTAGTGGCAACAGGTTACAAATATTGCTGCTGTGATAGCACACTGTCGTATTTCACCTAACAGATATGGGAGTTTATAAAAATGTGATTTATTTTCTTTGTGGGTCTTTTTAATCTGAGGGAAATATGTGTCCCTAATATGGTCATACATTTGGCAGGAGGCTAGGAAGTGCAGCTCAGTTTCCCCCTCATTTTGTGGGCAGAAGGCACATAGCCTGTCTTCTCTTGAGAGCCAGGTCTGCCTATGGCGGCCTCTCAATAGCAATGCTCACCGAGTCTGTACATAGTCAAAGCTTTCCTTAATTTCGGGTCAGTCACAGTGGTCAAGGTTCTGCCACCGTGTACTCTCTGTTTAGGGCCAAATAGCTTTCTAGTTTGCTTCGTTTTTTGGTTAGTTCTCTCCAATGAGTCAAGTTTTTATCTTTTAGTTTTCTCATGATTTGGTTGGGTCTAATTGTGTTGCTGTCCTGGGGCTCAGTGGGGTCTGTTTGTGTTTGTGAACAGAGCCCCAGGACCAGTTTGCTGAGGGGACTCTTCCCTAGGTTAATCTCTCTGGTAATGGCGTTGTTATGGAAGGTTTGGGAATCGCTTCCTTATAGGTGGTTGTAGAATTTACGGCTCTTTTCTGGATTTTGATCATTAGCGGGAATTGTCCTAATTCTGCTCTGCATGCATTATTTGATATTTACCGTTGTACACAGAGGATGTTAAAGCAGAATTCTGCATGCAGTCTCAATTTGGTGTTTATCCCATTTTGTGAATTCTTGGTTGGTGAGCGGACCTTAGACCTCACAAAAGTGGAGGGTAATGGGTTCTATAACTGATTCAAATATTTTTTGTGAGATCCTAATTGTAATGTTGAATTTTATGTTCCTTTTGATGGCATAGAAGGCCCTTCTTGCCTTGTCTCTCAGATCGTTCACAGCTTTGTGGAAGTTACCTATGGTGCTGATGTTTAGGCCAAGGTAGGTATAGTTTTCTGTGTGCTCTCGGGCAACAGTGTCTAGATATAATTTGTATTTGTGGTTCTGGCAACTGGACTTTTTTTGGAACACCATTATTTTGGGATTATTGAGATTCACTGTCAGGGCCCAGAATCTGTGCAGAAGATCTAGACTTCAGATTCTAGTAGGGTGAGGCCGGGTGCTGCAGACTGTTCTAGTGACCTCGCCACATTAATATATATATGTTGAATAGAGAAGCTGAAAGGTCAAATATACTGTTTAGGCTTTCTACTGCCAAGTTTACACCTTCACTATTGCAGCAGTGAAACGTTTTGTCCAAGAAGTTGTCTAAAAGGGATTGAATTTGTTGTTGCCCGATTGAACTAGTGTAGCCCACAGCCATATGGCATAGCCAGATCAGGGTCTAACATAAGGACGACTCAGAATATGCAATTCTGTTCTTAAATAGGCTACATTTTCTTCATACCATAATGTTTCTTTAGACCTGCCTAAAATAAATAATGGATTTATTGTGATGGTGTAGGCTGCATTTAATGGATTTATTCAACTTTTTTGTAGATGTTCCAAAGGTCCACATCAGTGGCTTGTAAGCTCACTGGAAGCCCGGAGATGCTACACGTGTTTATGTTAATGAACAGAATTTCATGACAACCACAGCCAAGCCCGGATCAAACCTTGGTGAGGTCATTAAGGGATGTTATTGAAAATCAATGCAGCTCTTTGTCTCACACACTCACTGGCAGGCAGGCAGGCCACTTTAAAAGGTCTCCTGGAAAAAACTGGGCTTGCCAGAATGGGTCATGTTGTATTGGGAAGACTTAAATCACAATCACTTTCAATTTAGGCCGGCTGTATTCCACAATGGCCCGACGGGGAGCATCTGTTGGCTGTGTACTTCACTTTACTGCCATGTGCTTTTATTCCTAATCAGACAGTCAACAGCAGGTACTTAACCCTGCTACCTGTTAGTCTACAGCACAATGATGACTTTGGGGAGGGGGGGGGGGGGGGGGGGGGGGGGGGGGGGGGTTTATTTACTAGCTTTTGTCAAAAAACGTCTTCCATTTTCTCTGCTTCCATCCTTCCCTTATTCCCTCCATCCTTTATCCAGCTTTGTTCAATTCATTTTATGGTTGAACGTTAAGAGGTTCTATGGGAGATGAAAGGCTCCATAAATTTTACTCATTGTCTAGCTAGGTCAATTTATTTCGGAATCAATTGACACATTGCTTCACGGAATATCTAATGCAGCCAGGAGGATTATTACAAGGTCTGCCATTTTACAGCAGTTCAGTTGAGCAATTCAGCATTCATGTTGGATGAAACCATGTTTCTTCATTGGTTAGTATTGCTCATTATTTTCTCGATATTACATGTTTAGAATGTGAAATAGAATTTATTCCCTGAGGAACAATATCCATTTTATGAAGATATATACCAGAACGTGTTTCTGATGTTTCAGCCTACAGTATAAGCTACTTTCTAACGCTCTGAAGAGTATAACAAAAACATATTTCCTCCACAGTTCCAATTAATAGGATAGAAGGAATGGTATATACGAGGCAGGACATTGTATTTTGTTCTGATAATCCCCTGCGTTTATCAGGGAGAAACCTGAATGCTGAAGGTTGGGATTGAATTTTCATGGTGTTCAAATACCTCCAAAAAGCTCCTGGCACAGAGTTCACCCCTGAGCCAGCGTACAGAGGAGCAGCCCCGGGCTTTCTTCAGTCACAATGGCAGCTAATAACGCTGTGCCAAACTAATAAGATGGGCAACGAATGAATGGATCGGCCCAAGCCTCTTTTCTCCCTCTCTTTTCCCCCTGATAAATCATGTATGAAACCGTTTTGAGCAGCTATGCAGTGATCTCCACAGCCTTCCCCCTAGCGAGGGCTAATGCATTAGTTCCCATTTGGAGGGTGTTTTGAAA